TTGATGGGGTTCTTCAGCTGTGCATCTCCAAATGAATATGACAGATGTGCCCATATGGAACATTTTTTGCCCACTGAATGTCAGCCTTCAACCATGGCAGCCATGTTAAGGGCTATGCATCTGAAATGTACATGAAGCCAAGCGCAACATAAACTTCTTAGAGATAAGAGAGATAGCATTATTGGATTTTCACTTTTCTATTTCAGATCAACACTTTTTGCCTTCACAGACAACCAGTGTGCCATTTTCATAGTGGAGTTGAGCATGGCAAACATTTTCAACAGAACACATCAAAAGTGCTCTGATTCAGCTCTGTACATTAGGACACAAAAACTTCATCAGCGCATTGAAATATTTCTGTGCTATTAAACACAGTGTCAGACAGTTCATATCCCATTTTCAAATATCAGTGGAAACCCTGATATTTAATAAAGACCAAGGATCTTCCTGTGCTTTTCTTACTTTTTCTGGTTAGGTCTTTACAAAATTTGTCTGGAGGGAGCAACCTTTGTCAAAAGGAAGTTATTAGTAACTCTGTCTTGGAGATTCTTGCTTTAGAGATAATCCAACCTTTCATAGAAGTCCCACAGGCCCTTGCATCCTGTCAGGAACTTCTGGACTTTTCACTATCCAGATGCAAACTGCTTAAAACTACATGTACAGATGTATACAATCCAAATCACTTCAGCTTTTCTAAGGAGATCCATGATGCTTATCCATGAAAGTTACCTTGCCCAGAGTAACCTTGTAGGGGAGATAGGTGGCTTTAAAAAATTTAATAATAAAAAGTTCCCAAAAGGGCTTTTTGTCATTAATGTTAAAGAATTTCCCTTAAAAAATTTCATTGAGATTTGGACGAAGGGTGTATCCAAATACTTTGCAGATAATGTATAGCTTTAGCCTTAATTTCCTTTATTTTAAAGGAATTTAAAGATAGCCTTAGAGAAGGTCTGAAATAATGGTTAAGGAGGGGCCAATAGAAAAGAGTACATGTCCAAATACTGAAGCACATATGAGAAAGAAACAATCCCACCATTTCATTTAGTATAAGGGGGGACACAGAGAAACTTGAACCGGCTTTCTAGTTTCTGTTATTAAGTAGCATTCCTGAAACCTGTCTATGTTTTTTGAGCTGGTTTACCTTGAAAGATGGTTTGAAATGTTTTTTTTAATCCTGTAATTCTTCCAAAGGTTTTTGTAGGAACCTCAAATCTGTAAGTTTAATTCAGTTTACTTTATTGTCATTGCACCTCGTACAACGAAATCAAACACCAGCACACTGAAAATATAACACAAACACACATCCTTCAACCTCCACACATTGAACCGAAAACTACCAACACCGCACCAACACTGCACTATGCAGCAAAATTCAAAACAGCTACTGCCCTGGGATAGAAACTGTTTTTCAGCCTATTTGTCCTTGTTTTTATTATTCTGTACCATCTGCCAGATGGTAATAGTTCAAAAAAAAGGGTGCCCAGGATGAGGTGGATCTTTGAGAATGTTTTGAACTTTCTTAAGGCAGCAGGAGCTATAAAGCTCTTCCAAAGAGGGGAGAGGGCAACCCATGATCCTCAGGGTAATGACGTTAACCCTCTGGAGCTCTTTCCTATCTGCCACTGTGCAATTGGCAAACCATACAGAGGTGCAGTAAGTTAAGATACTCTTTATGGTACAGCGGTAGAAGGTCACCAGCAGTTTTCATTCAGTTGTTGTTTTCTGAGAAGTCTCAGTATCATCTCTGCTGGGCCCTTTTGACCAGGGCTGCAATGTGAGCACCCCAGGTCAGGTTCTCTTTTATGGTAACACCCAGAAACTTAAAACTGGCCACTTGCTCCACTCGATCTCCATTGATAAGCAAGAGCTGGATGTCTGATCTGTTCTTTCTATAGTCCACTATAAACTCCTTGGTCTTATTGGTGTTGAGGACCAAGTTATTGTCTCCATACCATGAAAGCAACTGATCCACCTCATCTCGGTAGGCAGACTCATCCCCCCAGAGATAAGTCCCACCACTGTTGTATCATCTGCAAATTTAGCAATAGTATTACTAGCATGAGCGGAAATGCAGTCATGCACATAAAGAGTATACAGTAAGGGACTCAATACGCAACCCTGTGATGTACCAGTGTTAAGAATAAGGGCTGAAGAGGTATGATTACCTAATCTGACCCTCTGTGAGTGGCCAGACAGGAAATCCATAATCCAAGGGCAGATTGAATAAGAAAATCCAAGGTCCAGAAGTTTAGACACTAGTCTATGTGGAAGAATTGTGTTAAGTGCAGTCATTGGTTTCCATCATGAAACCTATACTTCATGCTTAAATAATCTCTCAGTTCTCTCTTCAACAATTGCATCAAAGATTAATGTCTTAGAATCACAAATCTTCAGATTATATTTTGTTTCTTTTCTTCAATAAATGCAGATTGGGAGATGATATAGCAATCATTCAGAGATGAATTAAGGGTTATATCATTCTGGCTTATTTGCTTTTTAGATTTCTATCCCACATCTATCTCAGGTATAATGCTCTCTCCTCCCAGTCTAGGTCGGTCTGAGAGATTACCCAGTGAGCTGCTATGACTGAAAGCCTCTGCTGGCTGTTGATCCATGGGGTGTCACAGGCTTCATTAATTTTTCCAACAATGGTTCTTTGGGAGCCATGTGTTGATAGCTAACTGGCCAGCTGGCTTATCTTTTATTCAGCTAGATACTTTTGTTTCATTTGAAGCCTCTTTGTCAGAAGATCCTTCAATAGGTTGTCCATTCCTTCTAAAGTGTCTTCCTTCAGCCACTCTTCGTGCTCTTAATGCAGGATGCATTATTATAACTCACTTAAGGAGAATGAGATTATTACTTACTGAAGACAGCTTTCTCTATGGTGGATGAAGAGTGTGGTCGAGAGCGTTGCTTATAGAATGATTAGGGGATGAGGAATGGGAACATTTTCACCGTCTCAGATTGTATTTCTGATGGAGTTCTCTACTTTTCAAGTGCAGAACTAGAAGTGAGTCAGTCCTCCCACAGATGTATATAAGATCTCCATGATCCTCCCTGTTAAAGCCAGAATGAGCAGTGAAGGATGCCTTCAATCCATCATAGGAAAAAGAAAGCCTTACGATTCCTTTCTTAGATGAAATTGTGAAATGTTTGTTCATTACAAATTAAATTAAATAGACTGATACATAATTAGTAAATAACATGATACAGTAGGGGGCACTCTAAGTAAGGTTTTGCAGTTTCTGAGTTATATAATCTTGCAAGAAAATACTATTACGTTATTAATCTACATACATATTACAGTATTTGAAATATATCCAAAATAAGTGTAGCTTGCATTAAGATGCCAGAGTTTTTTTAGTGAAAAATTTACTGTGAGTAGAGTTACTACCTATCTACTATTTTAGGGTATTGATTTAAACATACAAATAATTACATTGAACACAGTGGTTATTTATTTACTTATTTATTATAAAGAAATATATAGGATTTTGCTGCTATTTCTATTTTTTCTTTTAATATTCAGATGTTAGCAAATTTCTATATGGATTATTTTTTGTTTCACTGAAGGTTAAATACTGCACAGTACAACAACAAGTTTCAATGGCCAGTGAAAAATTCATAGCCATGAATTTCATGAGTAGACGAGTGTTGACATTTTTCAACCACCTATAAACATCTATTGATTTTTTTCTACATTATTATATCCATTTCAGAGGACCAGCCACCTTGAAACAAAAACCAGAAAATCTTCGGGCATATTTAAACTATTACATGCATATAGAGTGCAGGCTAGTTGTTAAAGGTGAAAGGAGAGAAATAGACTATGGAATCATAATGCTACAAGAAATCTAATTTTATTTCTATATCTCTTCAACTTTGAATCTCCACTGTCTACAATTTGTTCTGATACATTTTTTTCTGAGGCAGAAGGGCAACCTGAAGGCAACTCTCCCCAAACCACTCCTGTATGACGATCTCTTTAATGCAGTGTTTTCAACCTTTGCAACTTGAAGATGTCTGGATTTCAATTCCCAGAATTTGCCAGCAGTCCCGGGAGTGAAGTCCAAATATCTTCATGTTGTCATGGTTAAAAAAACATTGCTTTAAATGGTGTGTGAACCAGGAGCATTCAGCAAAGGGTCCATTATGTCCTTCTCCTTTTAGGCTTCCTACCTGATTCTGTACTTTAGATATTTTAATTAAATATTGGCCTGCTGTCCCAAATTTTCTAGCATCAGCTCTAGCTTTGTTTAGACATATGCTCTCACATTTTTAAAAATTAAAAGCTTGGGGATGGTAGAGAGTGGCTTGTTTGGGTCGATGTCATCTTTGTCACATCAGAAAGGCTTCTTTCATCCAACTGTTTTATGAGAGGACTCAGAGTAGGCAAAGTTTCCAATATGCCTACTCTGGGGTTATAAATCATTTCACATACAATCTGTTGGCTTAAAATGTGAGACCTTTTGAGCCGATGCTGTTCTCTGTGTCGTAGAAGTAACCTTGTTGCTTTCCTGAAGTTGGAGTTCTTAACTAAATGAATTTTTCATTTGGTCAGTTCTAAAATTTGGAATATTTGGCCTTTCAAAACTTCCCCCATTATGAAGAGAGCAAAAAAAATGTGCTGTATCATAACTAAATAACATCACCTTCAGTGGGCAAAAATTGTGTTACTATATAAGAAGGTTCTAATTTTAAAATAGCCTAGGTATGCTGTAAATATTAAATTTATACAGCTATTGAGGTTGTTGTTAATAAAACATAACAGGATTTTGTGAGTGTAATTTGCTTCGAGTCAATTTTCTTAATATGGTACTGCTTGACACACATAATGAGCAAACATATTCATTTAATAATTCATTTGATAAGCAGTATAATTTTAAAACTTCGATATAGCACATTGTGCAGGATTTTATGCACATTAGTGATGGCCTGTATGAATGTCTTAGAAACAATGGTGTACATCTGTAATATTTAAATTTAAATACATCTTTTAGCTGATTATTTGGCACAAGCCTTTGATTCACTTTGCATTGATCTGAAGACAGAGGAAGGAAAAGTCTTGTTTTTGGACTACCAAGCTGTGCCCATAATATTGACTCATCTAAGAATATCAAGGAAAGGCCTCCTTTCCAATGCCATTGACAGTTTACTTCAGATGACAACAGAATCTAGTAAGTAATCAGTGTTCTTTTCATACACGTCTTACATTGTTTAGCTCATTTTATATGCCCTCCATGTTTGATTTTGTGGTAATTGCACAGTAAGTTATTGCAAGAGAAGGATTATTATTATTTTTATTAGGCAGAATGGGAAATTCCGCAAAAGAAAATGTGTTTTCCCCTGCTGTAGTTCAATATGACAGGCAGTTAGTTTTAAAAAAATGAATGCTTTTTAAAACATTATAGTTTATAGAAGAGATTTCAAACCTTATGTATGCCCATTGGATATGTATGTATGAAATTGTGATGTATGAAAACATAATGCCCAACTAAATTTTGTAGGGCTGACCTTTTCAACAAGCTCTGAGATCTCAGCATAGACCTGTTTATGTAAATACAAATTCTAATAATAAGATGCCTTTAAATTCTTTCAGATTTCTAATGGTGATTGAATACTTAGTATGTGTAAGCTCTCTAGAAATAAACACGTACACAGTGGGTTTATGTACAATATTGTTTTGTGGATTGTTTCTTATATCAGAATTATAACTAATGGCTTCTTAAATTGATACCTGAATGATCGAATTGTTTAACCTTTCACATGTAAACATTTTTGTCCTGCAATTGTTGATACCATTCTTCAGAATGCCACAATTCCTGTCTCTGTGGTCATACTTTAACATCAAATTAACTAAGATCTCCAGATGTGCCTCCAGCAAAACAGAATAATCATTCTACATTTAAAACTCACAGCGGAATTAAAAGAAAGAACTCTGCATTCCTATACAAACGAGGCAGCTTGATTTTCTACTGAGATAAATCACTGCTAAGGATTCATCCCACAATTTCTGCCTAGAGTAATTATGCTGTTTTATCTTAACCAGGAAATAATTGTCTTTTTTTATCTTTAGCCTTCTAATGTTAAGTGAGCTGTTTTGACACTTAATACATTGTCAGGACTATGTTTCTTTTATGTCAGTTGCACAAAAAAAATTCATGTGGTAACTTTGAATTTAGCATTTTGCTAAACATTTACTACAGAGGATTTGCTTTATGTATTACCAGATTGGTAGTATATGTAAAATTATTAAACACAAGATAATTAAATGAAGTTGCAGAGGAAAATAGAAAGAATGGTGGGTACAGAGAAGAGTTGGCTTGCCATCTTTCATTCCACACAATTTGTCCCTGATGCACTGCACCTTCCTCACAAATAAGTTCTTCACCTATTACTTGACTTTTACCCTTGCAATTTAAATATCCTGTTCAGAAGAGAAGTACTGGAACTACCTCAAAGTTTGTCCATGTGTTTGTTTTGTGGAGGGACAATTGAGAATAAAACTTGTGTTAAAGTTTCTCAGAATAAGGGTTTTTTTTGCTTCAAATCGACTTTCTATTCAAAATCCTAGTAGGAAAGGCTGGGGTAAATGAAATTAGATGGAAATAATGTCATTCTCTTCTTTGGAAGGTGAACAGCATAATCTTTTTGACCGAACAGCAGTTCACTTGCTAAGGTCTATAACTAATTCAAGGTGCCACTGATGAATGGTTAAGCAGATAACAAGAATTCAGCTGCTGCTTTTTATTCAAGATGGCTCTTGTTGAAAGGTTAAAAGAGTTGTAATCTGTGTAGTTATCTAGAATTAAAACTAAACACCATGTAGCTACAGATATCATTCTAAGAGAAACATTATTAAACATCTGTTGTGCATCTTTTTATTTCTCACCTACTCAAAAAGGAACCTACACACTCTTACCATGCTCTTTTAAAGGCTAATAATTGGATTCTTGATTTTGTGAGTATGATTTCTCCTTAGCATTAGCTGTGTTCACTGCTGCAAGGGTTAATCCATCCCATCCTTTATTCTTTTAAAGGGCAAGTGCAAACGTATCTTAAACAGAGGCATTTGAAGTTAGAGATGAAAAAAGCATAGTTTATAGCTTATATAGGATAAGTGGCATGCTTTTTTAAAAGGTTTCCTGTCCCAGACTTTCCTTTCTCATCCTGTCTGTAATGTTTTCTCTGAGAGGTTTGGATTGTCTTTTCCTTCTAATTTGAAGACACAGGTCAGCCAATGACTAAAACAATGCTGCTCCATGTAGTCCAAAGCAGAACTGAGTTGTCTGAACTCACACACATTGGGATTTCACCCCTCTGAGTGCACTAAAATACTGCTGGCTTTGATTGAACTCTGCAACTTTATTCAGAAATAACACTAACAATGAATAAACCAAAGCTAAACTTGGAAAAAATTCAGTAAAAGCAATGGACTATAGGCATGCATGATTTAGATAAGATTTTTAATGGATTTGATTTGATTATGTTGATTCTTAGGGACCATGAAGTGGCGTTCAATGATACAAAAAGGAGACCCTGCATCTGCGGGAATACGCTAGGAAGAAGAAGACTACCATATAGATAGATAATTCAGGATAATCTGTTTCCAAACTCACCTTTTAGGTCTTCCAATAATGGACCCATCATTTTTTAATTGAATCCACCGATCTTGCTGATTGCCCATGTGTCATTCCCCAGATTGGCTGATATATGTGGGTTTGAACCTTTGCTGATTATTCTTCTGTTGCTTGCAATATTTCTGAGATATTCAATTAATTTCTATAGCCTTCTGACTTGTTAATGATGGGATGCTGACCTAATTTAATCTTGTAATACTGGAAGGTGCTCTAAGGTACCTTGGATATTAGCATCTCTATTACTACAGAATGAGCAGCAGAGGTTTCTGGATTGAGTAGGCAAAGAGTCTTATTATGAATAAGACAATACCCTTTTAATTGGGGGCTAAAAGAATAATCAAGAAAATAAAAAGCAGAATAGGAATCTTGCTTTCACATCCAATATTTAGTGTATATGTAGACTAAATATCAGATTGTAGATGTTTCCTTTGAAAATCTACACTCACATTGAAACCACTGACTGCATTGATAAGAAACCTTTAAAGCACTTTATAAACTCATTAGACATTGTGAGTTTTGCATGCTAATATTTAAAATATTGATTGGAGCAAGCCTAAAAGAAGCACAATGAATGTTTATAGTGTTTTTACTGGGTATATTATGAGCCACCTACAGTTGTACATGTGGATGACATATAAATAAATAAATAGGATTATGATGTTGCTCCTACATTTAATTCCAAAAACCTTTCTTTTTCTCTGATGTGTTCATAGGATTTTGTTTTTCCTTTTATACAGGATGGACTTCACTCAATTTTTCTCAGCATTTTGCTTACAAAGGCAGGACGTAAATATATTGTAGCATAATAAATTTGATAGCTGCAAGCTGCTTAAGAGTGAAAATGGAAATAAATACTAAGAGAAAAACATTTCCTGCTAAAAATGAAACATCAGCTAGTTCCTTAAGAAATGAAACCTTTCTTCATTAAAAATAATGTTGCAAAGATACCACCATATTGATGATTGTGTCAAAGAATATGCAAACATTGATGTTTCTGGGATTTTTGCCTTATTTGTACTATTGGGAAAGCTCTGAGCTAAAATGAGTTTCCACTTAATACTTATCAGAAATTCAACAAAACAAAGCCCTGTAAACAGTTAGACCAGCTCTGTGTTTGTTTGTGGGAAGAGAGGAGGCAGGCACTGCGTCAAAGAAAGCAGTTGTAACCCAGAACTGTGCTAAACAAGGTAGCAGTCCAGTGGTGCGTTTCAAAATAGTTTACCACCAGAATGTTGGGCGTGGCTTTGTGGGCGCGCTTTACGCATGCGCGCACACTTTGCATACGTGCAGAGGCTTTCTGACGCACCTCCTGCAATCCTGCACTCTCCCTGTTGCTTCAGCAGCTGATGTGCAGCAATCTGCTGTGCCGCGCAAAGCAGTTGCACTTCAAAAGCAGGGAATAAAGGTCAGTATGGGAGCCCGGGCAGGCGAGTTGGGCCCAACAGCAGCTCCTCACAGAGAACCGGTTCTGTCTCCGCTGATCTTCAGCACTACCGGTATGCCTGAACCAGGCCAGAACCCATAGAATACCACCACTGCAGCAGTCTCTCCCATTATTAAGAAAGCTGAGGCATTCAAGCTTTTGTATGTTCCACATGCACTGGTTAATATAAAAGATATTTTAAACCTTTAGGTTTAAGATTTTCATGAATTATCATTGATCTGGTTTGTAAAATGTCCTGTGAACAGAGGCATTTGAAGTTAGAGATGAAAAAAGAATAGTTTATAGCTTATTAGGACAATGGGTCTGTGTTCTAAAGTCAAAAGTGAGGCACATGGATAGGAACTTTTTCATGCCTCCTCATCTTCAGCTGAAATATCAAAATCTACATGGCAAAGTGGAACTGGGCAGGTCAAAATAATGGTAAAATATTCTAAGAAACCATCCCTCTAAAGGACAGGGATGAAAGATAGAGTTACTATACCATCATTCTTTCAAAGACTTCGTAGCAAGAGTATGTTTCCAGTATTCATTAAGGACCATGAAGCTTGAAAAGAATTGTAGAATTACTTGCGCTGTAACATTGTTTTTCTCCGCCTTCCCACAACTGATTGTATGTATGAGTGATGGGCATGAGAGATTTGCTCTTTCAAAATTTAAATTCCTCTGGAATAGATTCTAATGATATCCAAGCAAAAACTTGAATCAACACCAGTTAATACCACACATCATCAGTTTTGTAATATCTGTTGAAATTTGAACATAGAAAGTTTGATAGTTTGCTGAATCCCAGGTTGAAGGTGTTTGAATATAACATGCCTTACTGTTATACACACCAATTATAATTGCTGAACTCCTTATATTTATTGAGGACTTTATTTTACAGGGTATTTGAATAGTTTTCTGGAAGCTTGCAGTAATGAACTCTTTTTCCGGACTTGTTCAGTGCTGCTTCGCAGTTCTAATCTTGATATTCAGCTCCTGGAAAAACTTAGCATTCTGCTTCAAAAACTTTCAAAAATCAAGTAAGCTTTCCAATCTCGAAATATTTTTCTCAGGATGGATATTATGTGTTTTGTTGGAATCAGAGCAACCCAGGATTTCCATAGCTTGGGAGATTTGTGGGAAAAGAAATAGGAAAAATGTGGATGCAATAGCTGAACCAGACAAGAAGTCAATCAAATAAAATAGAGCAGACCCAATCACAAACCACTTAGGAAAGACATAGATTGGTAGTACTGAGGGGGGATTGGTGGATAAAGATCAGTAAAGTAATCTTAAGTATACCTTAGTAGTAAAATATAGAAATAATGCCTTTTGAAGACTTTTCTAACTCTTGTGCCTATTCTTTTTCCACTCCCTTTTTTGCAATAATGAATATCAATGCCACATCTTGCAGATATCCTTGTGTTAACTGCAAGTCATTTTAGTTAAAAGAAATATCCTGTGTCCAGCCTATAAAGTTTATTTTAGAGAATGTAAAAAACAAAAATCCAAAGTTGCTGGGAGTGTATATAACTTTAATAAATTATTAAAAATAACCACATAAAGTATGTATGAATAACAGCATATACTGTCTATTTCAGTTTGGAAAGTTAAAATTTCAGAATCAAACGTGAATTGAACTTCTGAAGTGACTTTTTTAATTCCACACTTTTCAAAATATATTGCAGGAGTAATAAGAAGATGTTTGAGCTGTTTACTCTCCATTTGATGATTCAAGAACTGAGGACAACACATCCAGATCACACATTTTTGTGCATTAACCTGAACTCAATTCTCTTTAATTTGGGTTTAATAAAAAACAATCCAATTGAAAGTAGCGAAAATGCAAGTGATTAGCTGCATTTTATGACATGTTGTTTCCAGTGGCTCGTTTATATTACATGAATTAACAAAGTGTGGAATGGGAATTGCCACAATAGGCATCTCGGTTGTACCAGTCTTCAGAATACATCAGTTAGAATTGCTTTAATTGGAATTGTCTCTTTTATCTGGATTGCTTACCTGTACTTCACTTGTTTTAGACTGGTCTTCAGCCCAAAAGGCAGCACCCAACAATACAGTGTTCTTGCAATGAGATCAATGCCTAGCTGAATAGTACCATATTGGATATCGTATAGTACCTTTTTTTGCATAAGTGACCTTGCATTGACTAGAACAGGGCAAGCAATCTGTTTGTGGGCAGAAATCACACTTTGATTTTTCTTCCCTTCCACAATGTTTGAAGCATGACAACAACGGGGCCATATTTCAGCCCAATTTCTTGGTTCATTTGGGAAACAGCTAAGAGATAAAATATGTGCGTTGCAGAGTTTCCCAGAAGTTTAATGCATCCAATTTTATTTAGAAACCATGAAAAAAAATCATGGCACAAAGTTTTGAAAGTTAACTGGAGCTAAAGGAATGGAGTTGAATGTCTGATGACCTGCAGTTGATCACTAGTACAGTACAGAAAGAATAGTAATATTCTTTTATGTGGGCAGCTGGACTTTCTTTAGAGATGCTCATTTTGTTTCTCATAACGCTTGACCCCAAGCGTTTCAGTGATAATTGACAGAATCAGATTTTCCAGCACTTTTATTCCAGCAATACAATGAGAAGATATTGGGTAACCACTGAGGTCAGTGGTATGTCCTTTCATAAAATACATATTTAGCTGTTTTGTGGAGGCTATTAGTAGCTGAAAAGATTGGTGTTGGCCTATGAAAAGAAAGCATTGATTCTTACCTGAGTTTCCAAGAGCTCTTTTGTCGGTGTTAGAAATGCCCCAGTCCTGAATGTGGAGTGCCTGAAGACTGTTGCTATGTGAGACATCCTTAGAAGAAGGCTTTTCTTCGGACCATTTCAAGTTACACAATAATAGAAATGTGCAACTTTTGAAAATTATTTTAAATACATCCTTCAAAGCTCAAGTATTTAAGGTATATCTTTAAAGAATCTGAAAATATGCAGCTGCTTTAAGGAGGCAGATTAAAAGACACAGCTGCTTTAAAGATATTCTGTGCCTTTGCTATAATGCATTCCAAAGAACCTCTTCTGACTCATTATTGAACAGAACGCTTAATTTTTTTAATGATTTCTTTGTTAGAAAAAGCCCAGTTATTGAACTCAATCTTGACAAACACTAATTTGTTTTTTTCTGATATTTTCTATACAGTAGGCTGGGTCTTATAAGGGTTACAAAAAGATTTATTTTATCCTTTATGTATGTTCATTTGTTTATTGTCATGTTACAGTGACCACTCAAAAATGTCCCTATGTATCATTTTAATGTAATAAAATAACAATTTAAAATCATTTATATTGGGGGGAAAATATATTCTTTGAACTACTTGACTTTTTTTGATTGTTGCCTTTTCATTGATAATTTTATAGATTGGATTGAATGAATTTAGATTGTTCTTTCCAAGAATAGGAAGGGCTTCTTCCATTCATGGAAATTCCTGAGGATCCTGAAGCTGCTAGATAAAAGAGGGACCTTGACTGAACCCTCATTCTGTCCATATCCTTTTATCACATCTCATTTGGTTCCATAGAAACAACCTAATCCACATAGCAGTTTTTTCAGGAGGCTGCAAGGAAATGATGGAGTCAGCAAAATGACAGAAGATGTTGAGCAAAGTCTTCGCGCAAGCTGCCACAGCTTCAGTATATTTCTTTGGGATGTTTTGCACACCCCTAATAGTTTTTCATTGGGGTTGGTTTCAGCTTGTAATGAAAGGAAAGAAAATAGCACCTTAGTTTCTAAAAGCAATTATAAGGCAGGGGTCCCCAACCACCGGTCCCTGGATCATTTTTTACCAGGCCGCAAAGCTTGGGCGCTGTGAGGGGGAGAGAGGGAGAAAAGAGCGCTACGGTATGCCCAGCGCTTGTCTCCCTTTTCCTCTCCTCCTTCTCCCCCGTCAACCATGCACGCACGCACGCAGATAAAGCTGTTGCTGCTGCTGCTGCACCATGACCCAGAGGAACAGATTGAGCACAAGCACTGAAGGAGCGCCACGGCGTCCGTCGCCAAAGTGCAAGGAAGCAGCGGCAGCTGCTGCGCCTGTGACTTTCCCGGGGAAGGTCATTCCCTGACCAGTCGCGCTTCCTGGCCCACACTTGCACCCCTTGCCCCCCCGCCACCCACTTCCTCGCAGGCGGAGGCGGGAAGCTGCAAGGAATTCGGGCATGCTTTGTAGCCGGCTTTGCCAAGTCTTTTTTTTTTTTTTTGCCCAAGGCTGGAAAGAAGAAGGGCGACGGATCACTGAGGAAGGTGAGAGAGACTGAGAAGGGAGAGAGAAGCCCGGCTAAAGCAGCTCTGCGCTGCTTTAGGGACTAGTAGTAGAAGGTGGCGATTGGCAGCACTTGCCACCAGGCGATGCTTCCGGGTTTCGGTTGGAAAGTGGCGTTTGGGTGCTCGCGCCTTAGTTTCGTCGAAGGGGGGGGGCGGCTTCGAACGAAGAGCCGTCCCGATGGCGGTGGAGTCTCGCGTTACTCAGGTACCGGTCCGTGGAAGAATAAATAATCGTGAAACTGGTCCCTGGTTCAAAAAAGGTTGGGGGCCACTGCTATAAGGAGAGGGGATTGGTGTCAGGAATGGATGAAAAAAATCTCTTGATTAGTGCAAAGCGCTTAGTAAATTCCATTAAAAATAGGTGGTAGGTATGTAAAAACTTGATTACATGTTTCTCCTATTCATCCTTGTGCAGGGAGTCAGCTGGTTTCTTCACACAGTGCCAACCCTCACCAGGAAACTCATTTGAGAAAGTCATCCATCCTTTCATTCTCAGTTGGAAGCAGGCTTCAGCAAAAGGAATAGATCCATCATCACTGATGCAAGACCAGATTTTAGAATCTTAAACCAGCTCCAATAGAATTTTCGAACCTGTGATGTGACTGTATCTGAAAACAGTAACTTGCATAAGATCACGGCATGGAAAACAAAGGACTGTCTTAGTGATTTTCATTACACATGTTTCGTACATGTGCCTGGAGCTATGTTCTTCAATAGCTCTTTGGGGGTTTATGGCCTTTATTTAGTATGCCACCCATCACTCTGTCAAGTGACTCTGGGTGGCTTACACTAGCCTAAATAGCAATAAAACAATTATAGGATTTAAACAAAACATCAGATATTAAAAGCTGAAACAATATTAAAACAGAAAAACCAAGACATAGATGGGGTGGAGGTGAGATCTTGTATTAAACTAGATTATAATTATAATTGTAAGTTAATTGTGTCACTCAGCCTCTGAAGCAAACATGCCCAGGCATGATTTCTGTATTGCAAACATGCAGCTTGGGAGACTGAGGAACAGAACATGGAATATATTTCTGATCAAATGCTCAGCTACCTTTCACATCTCTTACGTATACCCTTCTTTGTTTTGCTTCTGGCCTGTATTTGTTTCTGCTGCTTTGCTGCCTCTGTGTAATTATATCAGCCTCCCTGTGGTTTTGTGGTTTTTTTTTAACATACAAGATCCAGGCATTGGAGGCAGGGGGAGGCAAAGAAGAGGAACTTTGTGGGGCAAACCAAAGGCTGCATAAACTGAATACATCTCACTGGCCCAAACCCATCAATGTTGGGCTTAGTGTTCTCTGAGTCTATGGTGGCCCTTTTGTTCCATTCCAGTTGACTGCCTCTTTCCAGGGACAGCACCCTAACAGAATGAGTCGAGGGTCACTAAAATGCTGTGAAATGAATTGACACCTGCAGGATGGAAGACAGTACTTAGCATTTTCCCTGAATGCTGCTTTTCAGTCTGACAGATGGGAAGTCTACTCCCTGGTCCTCTGCCTCCCTCTCCCTACAAACATGGAATAACTGTGCACTGGTAAATTGCTTTGTCCCCTCAATGACCAACCAGATGTCTTAAAGATGTTAAAACTCCTGGATTTTACAGCAGGAGTGTTAGGCTTAAGGAGGCACAGGTAGATATGGCATGGATTCTCATGTACTCTGAATCACCTTTACCTCTTTAAATACAATATGGCGGGGAGTGAGGGGGAAGGATGAACTTGAACTAAGTGGGGCTTTTTTACACAGCAGGCATAGTAATGAAGTTCTGTCATGTTTTCTCTTCATTAATTCCATGTTTCTAAAAATAATCCCAAATAAAAATAATTGTCTTCTTTGGGAGCTTGCTTTATTAAATCTATGTTTTCTACTTTTGCTTGTTACTTTGGTTCTGTGAATACTGTACATAAATACAGTACAGAAATAGAAAGACTTCAATTTTAAAAAGAAAGGTGTCGTGTATTCCCATTCCATTATCTAGAAGGTATTCAAATATTTTAATTCATTTTTTTTTCATGGTAAATTGCCATCTGGTTCAAAAGGACTATAATGGCAACACTGGGAGATTATGAGTCAGGACTGGTGGAGTGTTTGGAACAAATTTCTGTATAGCCACCTGCTGTTGCCTGCTGAATAGAAATTTGTTGGATTTCTATATCAAGAAAAATACATATTGGGCTGCTGCAGTTATGTTATGCCTTTAACCGCTGTTCGCCATCAGTAATCACAATGTTGAGATGGGTGGCCATACAAATCCCTCCCTCATCTATTTGTGTCTGTCTGTCTGTCCGTCTATCTAGCTTTGCTGGCTGAGGAATTCTGGGAGTTTTAAGTCCACAAGTCTTAAAGTTGCCAAGGTTGGAGACCCCTGATCTATATCATCTATTTAGAACAGGGGTTTTCAAACTTGACAGCTTTAAGACTTGTGGACTTCAACTCCCAGAATCCTTCCTCCAATCATGTTAGCTCCTAAATTCTGGGAGTTGAAGTCCACAAGTCTTAAACTTGCCAAGTTTGAAGACCCTTGATTTAGAACATTAGAATTTCAAAATCTATCAATTGTGGCTTAGTAGTTGTTTTCATTTCACTTGAAACAAAACCAACTCTAGATTAAAGTGGACGTTTATGTTCACCAGCTAATATTTTCTCCAAATATTGGGCTTTGTTTTGTCGTTATCAATATTTACAAGCATATATTCCTGAGAAAGACACATTCGTTTCTACAATCTTCATGTAAAAGGAAGAGCTGCAACACATCATAAAAAGGTGTTAAAATTGTGTGTGTGTATGTTTCATTTACTTTTATTTTAGAATGGTCACACTGGTTGCCCAGATGCCACAGTGTTCGCTTTGTTGGCTTTTGTGACAGAGGCAGGCGTCTGTCCTATCTCATCAAACAGGACTCTTTTTCTCTTTTTAAAATATAGTCTGCTGCTCTTTAAGCTTCCTTCAAAAGGCATGACTGATCTTTCTTTTTTCTTTTGAACTGGAAGAAACTTCAAAGAATCTTGCTAATCAACTGTCCTCTGTCTGCCAGAAGCCTTATTTTAGTAGATAATATTTCTGGAGCTAAGGGGCATAATAAAGGAAACTATGGGTGCTCTCATAAAATACGTGTCACGATGATGACGGGGGCTTACCTATACATAGAACATGACCTCTATGATGTATATTCATTTGGAAACACCCACTGAGACCTGAGGGCAAACTGAGATTCTACCCCAAGTTGACTTTTATCTTGAGTAGTAGGTGGACTAGGCACATTTTCCAACAAAGTATATGGTACCTGCAGCCTATATATGTAAATATGCTTCTATAGGCTGGGGCTTTGATTGGTAGCGTGTCACGTTTCCATTTATTTCTTCTTAATTAAAAACAATCTTAAAATAGCCAGCTGATAAGTGAATTGAATCCAGATGCAAGTATCCTTAAAAGAAAACCCAGTGAAATCAAAGACATCATAATTAACTTCCCCTATTTATTTAAATATTTATTTATTAAGCAAGTACAAATGACTCCCCAACTCATGCATGGTGCCTCTGGACAACTTACAATATTAACGTTTCACAATACAGCTTTTTGTGACAGGTTTTTTTTTCACATCTCTGGTACTAAACCATAAAAACACATACTTGATGAACTCCCAAGACTGGTTCCTACACTGCATAAGAAATACAATGAGAACCAGGGTTCTCAACACAAGGTTGCCAGTTGTGTAAACATTCATGAAACCAAAGGTGGTATTCAGCAGGTTCTACCAGTTCTGGAGAACCAGTAGTAGTTTTGAGTAGTTTGGAGAACCGGCAAATATCATCTCTGACTGGCCCCGCCCCCATCTATTCTCTGCTTCCCGAGTCCCAGCTGATTGGCTGGGTCTTCTTTGGTTGCCCTGCACAGGAGAACAGAGCTGGAAAGCAGGTTAGTGGGGTGTGGAGGGAATGGGGATTTTGCAGTAATTTTCACTCAGGAGTGAGGTGGGAATGGAGATTTTGCA